CCCCCCCAGCAGCAGCTCTGCAGGGCTCTACCTGCCAGAACAAAGCACCGGAGATACAACCAACACGTGTTTCGCTGTTTGGGTAGAAAATGCTCCAGTTCCTCAACGATAACGCCCCACCAGACGACCTCGCTCTCTGTGTAGGGCACCATGGGGGTGGCCGGTGGCTTGGCGAGACCCCCTCCCTCAGCTCCTGGAGCTTCCCCCCCAGGGCTCTGCCAGCCCTCCGTGGGCTGGAGCCACGGCAGATTTAGCAAGCGGGCACAAAAAGGCCTTTCCAGGGCGATGTGCCTCCAGCGGCCTCGGCCAGACGCCGGCAAATTCTTTCCGAGCATCTGCTGCTCATTCCTACAATGTCAGCTTTGATTCCCGGGGACCCCGTGCTGCTGCCCTCGCTGAGTCGCTTCTGCTCCAACACCAGGCACAAATATTCCCGGCTCCAAGCTGGAAAGAGCCTGGATTGTAGGGAGAGCCCCCCTGGAATGCCGTGCCAGGGGGAGACGGCACAGGTCATCCCACAACCCGAGAGGGAACCTCTACCCCTGGCAATTTTGGAAGGGGCTTTCCATCTGTAGAGCAAAGCCAGCTGGAAAAAATACTGGGAACGAGGACTCTGGCAAGGATCAGCGCTTGCAGCACTGGGATATCCCGGTTTTCCAGCTGCACTTTCCCTGCTATAGGGAAAAGAGCATTAAAACTCCCTGGGAATGCACCGCAAACTCCTTCTGGGCACGTAACTCTGGGGCTACACGGGGTGAACTCCTCGATCCATCGTGTTTTTCAGCCCCGGCTGCTGGAATACCGTCTCCCTCCCCGGTACCAACACCACGGCGCAAAGCTCTGCTGTAAAGAAAACATCACGCCATAAACCTGCCGACCGGCGCGGCTTGGAAAAGCAGCTCGGGCTGTCGCTGCTGACTCGGCGGGGGATTTATGCTGCACGGGGTCTTGCAAACACGGCCAGAGCACAGGCAGAGGCGGGGCCCGCTTCAGACGGAGATGCCGGAGCAGCGTGCCAGGCTCCTGTAGGAAATACACCATTTGGGATGCAATTCCAGGGTTGGGGATTTCATTTTGCTGGGACTTGCTGGCTGAGGTGGGGTTTTTCATCCCAAGAAGGGCGCGCGCAGCTTCTGTGCAAGGAGCGAGGCTGGTTTCACGTGCGTTTCTCCCTCCCACCCCCCACCATGTATTTAATTACATTTAAAAGAAGCATCCGAGTGTCCGTGCCCGTGGTTTTGGGTCAGGTTTGTACCCCCATGGTGCCATCACAGTGCTGACCCCTCAACCCAGCCACAACCCTCATCCTCCAGACGAATCCAGCCCATTTCACTCAAAGATCACCCAAATTCATCCTTTTCTTGCCAAAATATCCTTTTTTTTTTTTTCCAATTCTGCCCTACCAG